TTTGTTAAGCCACTCCTGAACCACAGACAACGTCAGAGGCGTCTTACCTGGGCTAAGGAGAAGAAGAACTGGACTGTTGCCCAGTGGTCCAAAGTCCTCTTTTCAGATGAGAGCAAGTTTTGTATTTCATTTGGAAACCAAGGTCCTAGAGTCTGGAGGAAGGGTGGAGAAGCTCATAGCCCAAGTTGCTTGAAGTCCAGTGTTAAGTTTCCACAGTCTGTGATGATTTGGGGTGCAATGTCATCTGCTGGTGTTGGTCCATTGTGTTTTTTGAAAACCAACGTCACTGCACTCGTTTACCAAGACATTTTGGAGCACTTCATGCTTCCTTCTGCTGACCAGCTTTTTGAAGATGTTGATTTCATTTTCCAGCAGGATTTGTCACCTGCCCACACTGCCAAAAGCACCAAAAGTTGGTTAAATGACCATGGTGTTGGTGTGCTTGACTGGCCAGGAAACTCACCAGACCTGAACCCCATAGAGAATCTATGGGGTATTGTCACGAGGAAAATGAGAAACAAGAGACCAAAAAATGCAGATGAGCTGAAGGCCACTGTCAAAGAAACCTGGGCTTCCATACCACGTCAGCAGTGCCACAAACTGATCACCTCCATGCCACGCTGAATTGAGGCAGTAATTAAAGCAAAAGGAGCCCCTATCAAGTATTGAGTACATGTACAGTAAATGAACATACTTTCCAGATTGCCAACAATTCACTAAAAATGTTTTTTTTATTGGTCTTTTGAAGTATTCTAATTTGTTGAGATAGTGAATTGGTGGGTTTTTGTTAAATGTGAGCCAAAATCATCACAATTAAAAGAACCAAAGACTTAAACTACTTCAGTCTGTGTGCATTGAATTGATTTAATACACGAGTTTCACAATTTGAGTTGAATTACTGAAATAAATGAACTTTTCCATGACATTCTAATTTATTGAGATGCACCTGTAGATTAAATGAAAACAAGAAATACTGCCTTCGCTTAAATAAAATAATCTAATTATGACTTTTATACTGTATTTCAGTTAAAGTTTATTTTATTTCAAGAAAATGTTTGTTATAGTCACATTTTATTTTTAGTTAACTATAATAAGCCTAAATTGTGACTTAAAGTTAAGTTGTGATAAAGCATTTTAACACTAAATAAAGATGAGAAATAACTAGACTATAGATACTATAGATAACTGTTGAAATGTTTTCTGTATGCCAACAAAATATTGGAATATTTCCATATGCTAATATTGCTAATATTATTAATGCGGAAAATCCGAATAATACAAAAATTATTCTGGATAATTTTGTCACATGACATGTTAAGGGACAGTAATATGTCTTTTTTTATTTATTTATTTATTTAACTTTTATTTAGATGCGCTAGCAGAGTCAAGGATAAAATGCATACATTTCAATTAATGCGATGTCCTAAAATTTGCATAAAATATATACAATGAACAAAAATTGGCGTAGAAACTATTTTCACTCAGAAATTGTTAGTAAATTTTATAAACAGTTACAAGGAAATGGAAAGTAACACACTGAAATTAGTCATTAAATTCTGTAGTAGATTTATGAAACGTACTCCAATTATCTTTTTTATTTAACTTTTTTTTTTATTTACAACTAATAAATATAACTAGTGTTACGATATGTAACATATATGATGTATTCAGTGTTACCAGTAAAATGTACCTGAAGTTTCCATAAAGCAAAAATATTTTTCAGTCATTGTCTGCCAACATCTATCACCAGTGACAGAGCTTTGTTTCTCTTGTTATAAAAATGCATTGGTACTTTGACACATCTCTTTAAGTGACTGTAACAGAATGCAGTAGTGCTACATTATGGATGTCACATTTGGCAAGAAATGAAGAGATTTGTCGTGAGCACATCATAAATTAGGAGAATGAAAGGCATTCTCTTTGGAGATGACGGGCACCATATCACGCTACAGATACATCTGTTTGCTTATCTAGAGAGGGTTTAAACTGCTTTACATGGGCCCTGAAACAGGTTCATCTGAAATCTATAGCATGCGCTTTCTGAATTTCATAGATCTCCTGGCATTCCCCCTGTCAGGAAGCCTTTAGCCCCAAAGATCAGGTTTCGATTCTGTGGGCTGAAATTGAATTCCCAGCCTCAGAGCCTTTAAAGAAACCTGGAACACATCACACAAATCTTGATTACTTGGCCGGACAGTTCTGTCGAAAAGCCTGAATTTCTGTGTGCACTGATTTCTGAACCAGAGTCTGAGTCTGTGCATCCTTTCACACGATAAGCTGAAAACTAAAAGAGTTATAAAAGCACCGCCGATGTACAGCTGCTGTAAAACAGGTGGGTTTAATAGGAGCTAACATTAGCCCATGCTTTCACCTCTCCAGTGGACTAAATCATAAATAACTTGGCTAAAAAGACCACCATAAAGAATCTTTGTGTGGGTCTTTGAATCCACAAACTGGCAACCGCATACAATACCGTCCTGCACAGGACATGGTTTCAATTATAGGTGGCAGACGTCTGTGCAAGGTCAGAGCATCTAATCCGAAACAATGCTTCACGCCGTCCATATGTGAAGACCCATCAGTCACACTCTGCCGTCTGTCTGAGCGCGACTCACATTACTATTAGTTCATACAATCAAAGAACGAGCATGAGAGATGAAATGAAAAACAGACTGTCAGAATGCAAACCCGTGACAAGAATGAAATGCATAACAATGAATAAAATACATATTTAGAAACTATAATATAATATATAAAATAAATTATCTGTAATTTTAATAATCAATTGTAATATGTATCTATTTTTAGTCAGACTACCATTTAAAAGTATTTAGCAAGGGAGCATTAAACTGATCGAAAGTGACCGTAAAAAGATTAATAATATTACAAAAGATTTCTGTTCATTCATCAAGGATCCTGACAAAAAATGTATCACAGTTTCTACACAAAAATTTCGCAGCACAACTTTTTCAACATTGATAAGAAGAAAAGTTTCTTGAGCAGCTTTGCCAAGCCGGAATACATTATATTTGAAAATATAATGAAATAGAAAACTGTAATTTTCAGTTGCAGTAATTTTTCAGAGTATTACATTAATAAATACATTAATATTAAAATATTAGTCTTGGTGAGCGTATGAGACTTCTTTCAAAAACATTAAAGGGATAGTTCTCCCAAAAAAGAAAATTCTACTCAACCTCATGTCGTTCTAAAACCCGTAAAACCTTCGTTCATCTTCGGAACACAAATTAAGATATTTTTGATGAAATCTGAGAGCTTTCTGACCCTCCCATAGACAGCAAGGTAACTACCACGTTCAAGGCCCAGAAAGAATATAAATTTTTGGGTGAACTATCCCTTTAAAAAAAATCCTACGACACCAAACTTTTGAACATCTTTACACTAAGTAAATTTTGTGTTATAACGCACAAAAAAGTATAATTATTAATAACCAAATAATTATTATAACTATTATTATTTTTATGACTGTAAACTGTGATTGTAAGGCGTATGACATTTTCCTTCCCCAAAGTGATTCTCTCTTGGTAACTCAGTCTCGGTTAATCTCTGTCTTTTCTCACATAGTTTGGAGTCCTTGACCACAAGATGACTTTGTTGTAGTTCTTTAGCCTTGAACCCACAGGCCTGCTTTGGTTTGCTACACTAAACTTGCATATGCACGTCATTTAAAAAAAAAAATAAGACAAAATAATGCAAAAATAAAATTTATTCTAAAATTATACACTTAAATATATTAAAATTTAAATGAAAAAGATCATATTAATTAGTATAATTTGGTAAATAAAAATTGGCTTTAAATAACGCGGAATTATTTAATTTGGCCAGTAACATTTATTTATTTTAGGAATTACAACATAATACAGCACAAGAATACAGTCAGACTCACACTGATGTAAGAGATTCAAACCAATAACCCTTTACTGAAGAAAACCTCAGTGGAACATTTACCATTAGTTTTTTTAGCTGAAAAAAATCTCTGTTATTTTGTCCTAACTTCAAAAATCTAAACCAAAAACCAACGCAAAATAGGTGGTTTTATGTCATCATGTTTCATTGTGAGACTATATATTGCTACAACTGACAGCAATGATCAGCACTGTTTTTTAGATATTTGCAAGAAAAAATGTTATACAATTTTTTTTTGTCATTAAATATATTGTTAATGTAATTCAATGTACAAAAAAGATGAAATTAATTAGTAATGTTTATGTATTCTTTCTGTCTGTGATACTGTGCTTTGTATCATGGGTGGTAGATTTTTTTCTAATCACTCAGCACTGGCAGGTCGGGCAAAAAGTTAATTTTGGAGCCTGATCACAGAGCTAAATAAAGTCCCTGGACAACAAAAACTAGTGTTAGTTTTCACATGGGACAAGATCTGTCTGGCCTGATGAATTCCCACTATATTACAACAACACGACAACATAACAACTGCCTGAACCGAGTGTGATCGGCACCTATTCATTTAGCTGTAAAAATACAGTTGCTCTGGAAAGTCTGCAAAGATATATATTCACAACTCTTGATACAGAAACAATCCCATATTGATGCTACTGAACTAAACTCTTTAATTGTAAGCAGTGACTGAGCCGTACAATACTGCTGGCTTCCACCTGTTCTCAACGAGCTCTAGCTGTGAAGATGGCTCAGTTGTGCTTTGAATAATAACCGTTAGACTGTGATAATAAGCACTAAGTAATTTGTCAGTCAGTGAAATAGTGTGACCTAAATATAGCGCGTTCTGTATCGCAACACTCTTGGCTTCTTTACAAACCCTGTGAGCTAAAGGCGAAAAGAACAATGCTATGAGATAAGCCAACAAACATTCACAAATAAAGACCTCATCAAATACAGCTAGGTGAATTTTTTTAAATTGTACAACTACTACAATTTTTAAATTACGTTTCTTAAAAAGTCAACATCAAATATCAGATATCATTAAAAAAAAAAATCTGTTTAATTGTTTGCCCAATTCTAACCTTTACCCCTGCTTGGTGTGAAGTAAATCCCGCCCCTGCCAGAGGAAATGACTTCATGGATGTGGCAGGCAAATATGAAGCACTTCCAGTTGAAGCATCTGTAGAAAACAGGAAACGGCACTTCAGATATCCAAATATATGTTTTTATATAATAAATGTTGTCTACAATTGTGTAGAATACATCTAATCACATACATCTAACCCCATGAAATAGTTTGACTTAAGTAGTTTTGTATTGTGTTGATGTATTTCCTATTGAAACAGGAAGTTGGGACAGGGAGTACTGAAGGGCTTGTAGTTCTTTTTAAAATAGACAATAGCATTTAGTTTATGTTACTGCCCCGCAAAACCACAGAAAGTCACTTAATTTGCAACCAAATGATAAAAAAGTAGGTCGAATCTAATTAAAAAGTAAGAGTGTTAGCATAACTAAAGACATGCAGTTGAACCATGTTTTGCATGTCTAATTTGTTAACTTTAAGAAGTGCACTAGTATATAGATGGCCTAAAATCTAACAAACATGCTATTTCATGGGGTCTAATCAAAAGATATCAAAACAAGGAACACATTCAATAAAAAATAACCAGTGAAAAGTTTCCGACAAACACAAAAACTGGTGTTAGCAGACGTCACCCAGTGTGCCAGTCTGTAAACACTCCGCTCCCCTGCCACTGTACTGACAGCCCTAAAAATAGAGTCCTCTAAAATCACGTCCCAGAGCTTTCAGTCTCCTGAATTTTCAGCACTTACACTGACTAACAAATTTGGAGATTTGAGTCTTACCTTGACTGGCAGCCGACGTGTATGCCATAGTGTTACTCAATGCCATGTTGAGACATCCTTCAGACGACACTGGAAAGTGCACTGCTCCGAGCGTCGGGCTGTGAAGGGACAGCACTGCATTTAGATCCTAAATCCCAGTGCATCTGGTCTGACTATATCTTATGACACAGCTCGAATTCAGGTCATAACCCTCTCTATATGGAAGAAGACTCTTTATAAAATAACTCTGCGTTTAATACGGAGATTGGCTGTACTCATAAAATGCTTAACAAGAGAATCACAGGCGATGACCGGAACATAGCAAGGATCAAAATAGATCACATACAAACAAGCCCTTTAAAAATATCTTGTTTCTACACCAGGTTAGCAACTATTACTGTAGCCGCCCATGCATCAGAGTTTGCTGATTGATTATCACCATCATAAGACACTTAGAAATACACCGCTCATCAATTGATGAATGCTGTAACATGGTACAAATGGTATTTTCCTTTGTACTCACCTTTCGGTGTAGAGCGAACAGTTCTGCAGATGTAACTTGCCCTTCACATGCTGGTCCCAGTCCTGAAAACAGCATACACACACGATACGCCTGTCAGATAGACTTCACTATGATCCTTCTATACTGTATGAGAGTGAGAGATTCCCCTGGCATAGCCACAACCTAGGCCAATTAGAAAGCTAGTAGTTCACAGCAGAGAAAAGGCGAGCAATAGTTGAGAACGAATGCGATTACGGCAAACTCTTGCAGAACAACTGCGTCCTCGCCCCCCTCTAAACCTGCCTCCACTCGACACATGCCAGCTGCCACAAAAGCATTTACACCCTAGTGTAACCAATGAGCCCATTTTAGCCAAGTATCATGAAAAACCTCTCAGTTCTGCAGAAATAACTGGGAAAAAAAACAGTTGCTGCAGTCGAGACCAACTGGATCTCAATTCTGTACACTGGATGCTGGAGACATCAGGATAAACATACTTAGATACAATACACAGTTCATAAGTAGCATTCAAAGCTTAGCATGAATTTGGCACATGTAGGAAAAAAGTGAAGAGTCTTTTGAGGTTTGTCTTACAGATATTTGATTCTGTTCACACCTAGTATTGAGATCCGTCTTTGTTATCTGATTGCAGAGTGTCAGAATTAAATACAAGTCAAAAATGTTTTTTATCCCATCTTGGGTCGTCTGATCTCAACTGGACAACTGGTTATAACGAAATCTTAAACTGTATCTGATGCAATCAACATTTGGAGTAGTTGAAAACACATTACATTTGTAGTGCAAATGCTAATCCATCTTTGAGGTTGGTGTGAATGTGCAATTTCCTTTAATCTCAACCAACAAGCCAGATCTACTCACCTTCAGGTTGTAAACCTTCTTCTCACAAATGGTGCACTGATGGGGTAGGTGTGACGGTATTGTCCCATGATAGTCATTGAACTGGTGGGGTTGCAATTGCAAGGTCACCCCTTCCTCGCCCTGGGAAACATGTGGCTGGTGTTGAATTCCCCCTTGCTGTCCAATGGGTGGGCCAATTCCTGGGCCACATGTCGAGTTGAACTTAGGATCTGCTGTGGGTTCCTCTGGGTTGTACAACTCTGCTCTCTGACCCACAAATCCGGGTGGTACCCAACCCCCAGAACCTGTTCCTGTACCTATATCCATCTTCCCAAAGTTGATCAGACCTTTCCATTGATCCTTAGAGGCTGATCCCAGATTCTGATTATTGCTTCCTCCCATGAAACCAGTTTGTTGTACTGGTGTTTCAGGGGAGTAGAAGTCTCTTTGAAAATTGCTGTGGACATTGTTTCTGGATTGTGTAGAGGCTCCACCATACTGTTCTCCATCACATGCTTTACTAGTGACCACTGAAGCCCCTCCCAAATATCCAAACTGCAAGCGACGGTCCGTGTCCGTCGAATACGTTCCAGGCTTTTTGCCAAAATCATTGTGCTGACTAGGTTTCTGGCTGGACACCCCACTGTAGTTGGTGGGCCTGATTCCAGTGGGATTTGGGGCAAAGCCACCACCAACCAGTTGTCCCAGTGCAGCATTTGGTGGTGGGAAGGCTATGGGTGGAGGTGGAAAGGCCCCACTGTGGGGCTGGGCCATGCTGGAACCCCGAAGATGGTTGAAGAGAGGTTGGGACATGGCCACATTGGAAAGAACCTGATTTAGGACAGTGGCTGCGGCGGCGGTATTGGTGGTCTGGGCGAGTTTGAGGCGGTGTAGGGTGAGCTGGGCCTGAAGCTGAGCCAGCTGAAGACTGGCAGGACTCAGCAGCAGGTTCTGACCCACTCCACCATGAGCACCAGCCAGATGAGCAGACTTATTATCAAGCTTTTCTCCTGAGGTACTGTGAAGAGAAACATAACAGTTCATCAATTAAATGGCCATAATCCATGGCAAATGTACACAGAAAAAACTAGTGACTATCCAAACATTCAGCCAGCAAACACACAATGTTCTTCTAATTGTAGAGTATGGTTACTCTGATTCTGATTAACAAATTTAGATTATGTTGAAGTAATTGGTTATTATTTCCATAAAAAACCTTCCTGGCTATCCAAAAATAACCTCAAATATCTGTTCTAGGAACTTTTTAAAAAAACAAAAATAATGTTCCCAGAACATTACAGGAACCAAAAACAGTTACATGGGTCACTATTTTAGTGAGAGCTTTTAAAAATTAAACGTGTTGTTTTGCAAAACCTCAAGGTTTTGTCCAATTCAGAAACATTCTTCCTGGCTAGACATGAGTATAGAAACTTTGGACTCCCTGTCCCTGTTGAGTGGACTGATTAATGCGCTCACATGTTTGCTAAATTTAGCAAGCACTACTATCAATCAAAATATCTGTGCAAGCCTGATACCACTCTAGATGAGCACACACCATCTAAGCCAAGAGCTGACATAAGTGGCAAACCCAAGGGAAAGTTGTAATAGTGGTGAAAGAGGGAACAACAATGTTTCTCAAAGGTACAGACCATGATAAGGGGATTTTTTTAGTCCTTTAACCTCAGAGGTTTTTCATGAAGTAGATTCCAGGTGTTCTGGTGTTTCAAACACAGACCAAGGTTATGCATGAGCAGTCAAGAAAAAGCTGGAACAAGGGGAGGCCCTCAGATCCTTTCAGATCTGAATTTGTGCAACTGAATCTTTTGGTGGGATTAGCACCTCTCCAGAGTAGTGCTGTAGTCATTTAAGAGTATGACATGGATTTACAGGAGCCTTTCCAGATCGTAAAGTTCACACATCAGTACCGGCTCTAAATAAATTATCCCTTCTTTCTTTAGACCAGAAGATAATAAGATGTCTATTTTTCTACTCATTACACAAGTGTTCATATTTATAACACATTTCATTAACAATTTGTATGGAGGAGACAGACCATAGTTGCATTCCAATTTACAGCATTCCTACACAGTGTTCAATGACTTGAGGGGTAATTTACATTTCTACTTCCTGTAAAAAGTAGGATAGGGAATTTTGGAGAGGCTAGCAATAGCAAGCTAGCTTTGAAAGCATAAGATTCCACCCTCCCTGCAAATCACTCTCCAAAGCCACGAGCATAGGCTAACCAGAAACACGAGAGAGACGGAATGCAACGCTGTCAGATTACCTCATGTCTCATTCACCGGTGAGAAAACATTACAACACAAAAGCGCATAATATTACAATAATAACGCCTTTCATTCTCACTTGGTTTGCATTAGCGTAATGTAATGTGCTGATGACGTATCATGTCTGCGTGAACACGGTGCACAGAGGTATGCAAATACATATGTTGACAGGCAGGTAGGACAACCTATCGTAGCCATCAGACCGAGGGACATGATTGGACGAACATTTTATGGGCCTATGCCTTCCACAGGTGATATAAATACATATAAATACATTTAGATCCCCTAACTTTCGGGATGTGAAAAGACTTTCAACCAGCCTAACGAAAAATGTTCTTGAATCAAATCACCTACTCACCCTTTAAGTGATATACTGACGGATTTGTTCCATATGTTGTTTGCAGTGCACTTCAGACTCAGAATACATTGCTTCTTTTGATTTTGAGTCTCATCTAAGATGGCGGAATATACTTTGAAGTGTTTCACAGGGCACTATTGGCAACTGAAACATACCCCTTGGTGAATGTGTAAGAACAAACCAAAATATCTATACCCAAACACATGGCTACATCAGTATTTCAAGCATTAGTCTAATGAATATAGAGTTGCAGCGAGAGATTGGCAACCAGGCCACCTCTGTTTCAAGCACTCCTGATATTTATGAAGGGATACAGTGACTCTCATCTGTCAATGACATTACACAGCAAGAGCCAAGCAAGGCTAACCAAATTCTAGAGTGCATACATGATTAGCGCTAATATAATACACAAAAAAATGTAGGGTGGCACTTGATTTTTTCCTTGAGGAATTGATTGAATTGTGAAAAGTAGACTATCATTGAGTGGTTGGAGGAGAGAAAAAAAGTCAAAAAGAAAGAAGCTAGTTATACATTTTGATGGAAGTTTGAAAAAAGAAAAATTGTTTTGGGAGCATACGCAATATGACCAAGAATGTGTTTTTTGAGAAACACTAAATTTGACTTTAATGTTTCTCAGACCACAAATAAAGATATAATGATATTAGTTTCATTGTTGTTAGTCCATTGGCTGAACGTCTGATGCATATCACACACAAAATGTAAAACACTTCAGGAGTTTCGAAGTCGTCATCGGATTGGTTGAATTATACAGAATTTCCGGGAGACAAGTGTGTCGCGTTCTTTAACGTTCTGCCTGGAAACAAAGATGCCGTGATGCCAAACCCCCTCATGGAAGAAGAAAGCCTGTCGTGTTTACAACTGTGACGAAGAGTGCTTATCAGGATCAACTAAACAGTGGATTTTCAATAGTATGTGAAATATGTAAAGTTTGCGGCATAGAATCTTTCAAACGTATCCAAGAGTTTTACACACCGGTGTAAAATTGTTAAATTTTGTTTTAAATTTTGGTCTGTTATTGTGGCGACATTTCCATGCCCCTAAACATGACGTGGCACAAAACGAAACGTGATTGGTTGATTTACCTGTCAGTCATATGGCCTTCTGGGCGGGCCTTAGCCATTCAAAGCGCCCAAGGTTCCCAGACCTTCTGCCGTCAGTCTGAAGGTCTGGCTACGCGAGACTAGTTAGCACCTAGCTAAGGGTTTCTGATGCCTCAAAATCCTTACAAAAATCAACCATGGTTTTATTATAGTAAAAGTGTAGTAACCATGTTTTTTTGTCATATTGACTAAAATTTGTATAACCACATCTTTGCTACAAATATCATGGTTAAACTATGGTTAGTGTAGCAAAACCATGGTTAATTTGTGGTTACCATGGTTAAACTATAGTGACCATGTTTTTTTTTTTTCATTCAATGTAAAACCATGGTTAATTTTCATAAGGGAAGGCACTTCATATCTTTGTGGACATTAAGAAATGCACATAACGATATTAGTTTTAATAATGGATTGATGTTAGCATGTTCGCATGTAGGGCTTCTTATGCCTTGAAAGGCACTTTATACCACTGTGGACATAAAGAAAACCAAATTATATAGATTTATTATTAGCCTTAGCCTATTTCTCAGACCCCAAATAGCTATAGATATTAGTTTCAAAAATGGTTTGTTGTTAGCATGTTAGCATGTAGCCAAAGGCTTCTTATGTTCTGAGAAGCACTTTATGTCTTTGTGGAAATTATAAGATGTGCATACAGTTTTATTTTATTGCTATAAGCAGTAGCAGCAGTGTAAGGACAGTAAACTGGTACTTAAATATGGGTGTATATCACCCTGTTACTAGACATGTACAGCCTGGCATGTGAAACGGCATGCAAAAATGTAATGGAAATCTTGGGCTAAGACACAACATACATAAATGAGATTTTATGGTACAACTGGTCTTTGAGACCCAACAGCTGGTCAACTGTAGCATACCACGATTAAGAGCGCAGAAATGGAGCCAACGGTGGATTTATAAAGTCTAGCTTTATGGTTGCCATGCAATAAAATGATCTTACACATTGTAAGTGCATGTTAACGTAAGGACTGACTCTCTTAGGTTGGGTTTCAAAAATATTGTAACGTTAGTAGCACGTAAGTAGTGCTTAATACCTAAAGCACATTTGCCACATTTATTTAAGATTATTTGAATAGATACGTTCGACAGATTCGTTTTTCTTCCATTAAAACCTTATTTGCGCATTGTTAGTATGTTGTAATGTTACTTTGTTGAAAATGTATCAAAATAATTATCATTGGAAAAATCTAAACTCTACATAAACAAACATTTTCGTCTGCAATTTCGTTTACATGGTTGTGTCATTAAAGAGGACCATTGGACATTACGGCGGCATCGTCCTATCTTCATGACTCAAAAGCCCAAAATATGCCAGTGACACACAACACACCAAGTTTAGCTACCGCCGCAAACCAATACGGCTCTCACAGCTGCCCGCTCGCATTTGCACTTGAGTCGTCTCATATAAGCAGAGGATCCAGGTGCCAAATGCTCTTCGCCAATTAATACAAGCCTGTCTTAGGACAGGAAATGTGCGGAGCATAATTATACGCTATTGTGCATGTACAATGTCTTTGCACTAATCAGGGCCGTGGGAAGGAACAATCTGCGTGACTCTTAGTCTATCTCTAGATAATCCTAGGATAAATTGGCAAGAGTACAGAGGTCACACCCCGCCGACCTCGTTATGCGACAAACTGTGTCCCGAAAGCAACTGTTCCAGTTTATAAGAGCTGAACTTTTATTGGCTGGAAATGCATGACATCATGCTTCAGATACAGAATTTGTTACATGTTAACAAAAGACGCAGTGGCCAAAATGAACATTAAACTATAAAATAAAATGGAAATTATGGAAATATATATACACTCTAATGTTCAATGTTTTTTTTTTTTTTTGAGAAAGAAATTAATATGGTAACACTCATACTATGTACTTTTGCTCATACTATGTACTTATTACAGCAATTATAATAACTGGGTAATAACTTAATACTAACAATAAACCTACCCCTAAACCTAACCATAACCTCATATTACCCAGTACTTTCTTCTTAGCTACACTGTAATTACACTGTAAGTACATATACTGTAAAATAAAGTGTAACCATTAATACTATTATTCTGAAACAATCCATTAAAGTGTTAAAATATGTCTGTAAAAATATTTATAATGTTACAAAAGATGAATGCTGTTCTTTTGAACTTTCTATTCATCAAAGAATCCTGAAAGAAAAATGTATGTATCACCATTTCCAACAATTTCAAAATATGAAGCAGCACAACTGTATATGAGAATGATTTCTGAAGAATCATGTGACACTGAAGACTGAAGTAATGATGCTGAAAATTCAGCTTTCATCACAGGAATAAATTACATTTTAAAATATATTAAAATAGAAATATATCATTTCAATTGTAATAATATTTCACAGTTTTACTTATTTTTACTCTATTTGTTCAGATATGTGACCCTGGAGCACAAAACCAGTCTTAAGTCGCTGGGGTATATTTGTAGCAATAGCCAAAAATACATTGTATGGGTCAAAATTATCGATTTTCCTTTTATTTCATTTAAGTAAAGATCATGTTCCATGAAGATATTTTGTAAATGTCCTACCGTAAATACATCAAAACTTAATTTTTGATTAGTAATATGCATTGCTAAGGACTTAATTTGGACAACTTTAAAGGCGATTTTCTCAATATTTAGATTTTTTTGCACCCTCAGAGTCCAGATTTTCAAATAGCTGTATCTCGGCCAAATATTGTACTATCTTAACAAACCATACATCAATGGAAAGCTTATTTATTCAGCTTTCAATTGATTAATAATTCTCAATTTTGAAAAATTTACCCTTATGACTAGTTTTGTGGTCCCGGGTCACATATATGCAGCCTTGGTGAGCATATTGAGATAAGACTTCTTTCACATACATTAAAAAAAACACTCACACATTTGCATTTATTCCAATACTACAAAAACAAAATTTACCAGCGCAGGCAACTGAGAATTGAGAAAATCCACAAAGAAACCACAACTACTACAAATATATTTATCAACGTCTACTCATATGCCTACTGATAGCATACACTCTAAAAAATGCTGGGTTAAAAAGGGACAAACCCAGCTATTGGGTTGTTTTGACCCAGCGGTTAGGATGTTTTGACCCAGCTATTGGGTTGTTTTGACCCAGCAGTTGGGATGTTTTGACCCAGCGTTTGGGATGTTTTGACCCAGCTATTGGGTTGTTTTGACCCAACCCAATACCCCAATAACCCAACCGCTGGGTCAAAACATCCCAACTGCTGGGTCAAAACAACCCAATAGCTGGGTTTGTCCCTTTTTAACCCAGCGCTGGGTTACATTTAACCCAGCATTTTTTAGAGTGTAACCATGCATGTTAAATAGTAGAGGTTCAAGTAGCAAACATACTTAAAAATAGGTTTAATATCGTTTTTGTTTTAATTAGAATATGTTCTTTTGGTTGTATTTACTGTAATGTTTGCTATATTTATTGTAGGTTCATGTGTTAAATGTTGTGGTATGTGTGACCATGTTCTG